CATATATTCTAAAATAAGTTGACCTTTAATCCACCTATTCTGAACTCTCTATTTGTTAAAACGTTTATTTTTTAAGTGGAGTATCTAAATCTTACTAGGATGTGTATATGGATAGACACTGAAAAATGTCATCCCTCATCTCGTCCTATTTGCTCGCTTATAATGCCTTTAGTTATATCTCGTAATCAATTTATGTTTTTCTCTCATTGTGCTCATTTAAATTGTTGCGAACAAGAAACACCTTAGATGAAAGGTAAATAGTGAGTTGCACTTCTCACGAGTGGCGTCACAAATATTCCGCATATTTCTCAGCACATTTTATAGCTGCAAGGCATATTTTTCATTTTAGTAAATTGTTATCGCTATATATTAATAAGTATTTATGTATTATATCGTAAACCAGCATTTGCAAAAAAAATCGTTGTTTATATTAACACCCTCGGCGATCACTCTCTCATTAGTCTCCATGATGTCCCACGGTCGCCTCCGCTCCCGTTCTCCTTTTAGACGGTAATTACCTCTAATATTTTACTTTTGTAGACCTTTCGGAGGTCCCTCATTCCAGAGGTTTAAGTCCTCTAAGCGCCTTGATGCTGGTCAGAGTCTCAAGAAACCAAAATGGGACCTTGCTTCCATGCCGCCGTTCGAAAAAAACTTTTACCGAGAGCATCCAGTGGTTTCCGCAAGGGATGAAAGGGAGATTGAGTCCTTCAGAGCCGAAAGGAAGATGACTCTCTTAGGTCGTATGGTCCCTCGTCCAATTTTTGCTTTTAGTGAAATTTATCTCCCCGAGCATATAAACCGCGTTATCGTCAAGAGTAATTGGACCGTCCCCTCGTCTATCCAGGCTCAAGGTTGGCCAATGGCCTTGAGCGGTCGTGACGTAGTTGGAATTGCTCAGACTGGTTCTGGGAAGACAGCTGGCTTTCTCATACCTGCAATCGTCCACATTCAAGCCCAACCTCGTTTGCAAAGGGGAGATGGACCAATTTGCCTAGTCATGGTTCCTACCCGCGAGCTGGCCCAACAGGTCCTCAGCGTTGCTATCGAATTTGGTCAACCTGCCCGCTTAAGAAGCGTTTGCTTGTCCGGTGGCGCTTCTAAGATTGCTCAAATTCGTGAGCTTGAACGTGGCGCTGAGATCTGCATTGCCACTCCTGGTCGGTTGCTAGATCTTTTGGAGTCTAAAAAGTAAGTTCTTATTTGGTAAATATATTTTAGAACTAATTTGGTGCGGACCACCTATCTCGTTCTTGATGAAGCAGACCGGATGCTTGATATGGGTTTCGAACCTCAGATACGCAAAGTTATTGAGCAAGTTAGGCCAGATAGGCAAACTCTTATGTGGTCTGCCACCTGGCCACGTGAGGTTCAAACTCTCGCAAGGGACTTTCTCAAAGATTACATACAAGTGACAATTGGATCAGTGTCTTTGCATGCTAATCCAAATATCACCCAGATGATTGAGATTATCGATGAATGGAATAAGGAGCAACGTCTCGTTGAGGTTTTAAACATGTGTGGTCGTGAGCAATGTGTAGTCTTTACGGAAACCAAACGGAGGACGGATCAGGTTGCAAATATTCTTCGGCGTCGTGGGTTCAACGTTGGTGCTATGCATGGTGATAAGCAACAGCGCGAAAGAGATAGGATCTTGAATGGATTTAGGGAAGGAATGATCAATGTTCTTGTTGCGACTGATGTTGCCTCCAGAGGCTTAGGTGAGTTTGTCTTGTTTTTAATATTTTTAATAATTTTGGCCTAACTCTTTTTCATTTCCAGACATTGATGGCATCAGATACGTCATAAATTTTGATTTCCCAAATCAGACAGAGGATTATATCCATCGAATCGGAAGAACTGCCAGAAGTGAAAAAAAAGGCACATCATTCACATTTTTCACCTCGAAAAATATGAAACATGCCCGTGATCTAGTCGAGATTCTCCAAGAGGCCGGGCAAGAAGTCAATCCACAGCTCCTCGAGATGTGTAACATTTCGGGTCACTTCGGCGGTGGGAGGCGTAATTTTAGATCAAGTATGTTTAGACTGTTATCCCTTAGTTTGTAGGGCGCTGGTACATACATGCCTTTTTCTCACAGCTGTATGCGCCTAGCAGACCCGCTGCCCCCTAAGTAATGGTCTTGTCTTCATAAATCCGCTTATTCATTTTCTACAGATAATTCAACTTATCGAAACAACTCGCATCACTCTTCTGGGTTTGGGAACAAGTCTTTCCAAAAATATTCAGACTCTACGCCAGCTTTCCCCCCTTCTGGCAACAATGTTGATTCCGGCTTTGATATGTCCACCGATATCTCTGGTATCAGAAGCCAGTTTCAGAATTCCTATGCCCAAGCAGTTCCTTTAAGCGTAGGACAGCGGTCAGTCGGGCAGAGCTTTCAGGCCCAAGCTCAAACTTTAGCCTCAACTAATTCGGGTACTCATTCATCTAGCAGATGGGATAAGTTTGACAATTCAAGAGCCCAAGAACCTGCTTCACCAGTGGCACCTGCGTACGTACAGGAAGTGCCTAACGCCTACGTGGCGGGCCAAGAAGCGTGGCGTAGCCAGGGCTCTGTTGAGCAAAATCTTCCTCGACATACGGGCCCACCCGCTACTGGAAACGGTGTGGTCTCTACTGATACCACTGAAACGGGATCAGTCAGAAGACAGTGGTCTAATAATCAATTTGATGCGACAACACAACGTGTACAGGGGCGCTCTTTTAACCAAACCCCTGGTCTTACAACACGGTCTGTTTCACGTCCGGTTGCTCCAAACCATGGATCGTTTACCACTTCCCCAACAAGCAGTCAGCCACCGGTTGAGGCACTCCCTGTCCAGAGAGAGCTCAGACCGCATACTGCTTCTTCGAGCCAGCCTGCTTATGCACGCAGTGCTAACGCTAGCTCGAGTGTTCCTCGAGTACCCTCAACCCCTGGAGTTACTGATGTATTACAGAGCTTTCCGGCTCACTGGGCCTCTTTTGTACAACAAGCCCAGATGTATGGTCAGCCACAGGCGCAGCCAACCGCAACTTATAATTCTACGGCCCCCGCGTGGGGCAACCAGAGTGGTTGGGGCGCCAATTTTAACTATCCTTACTAAGGGCTTTCCGCCCACTCGCTTTACTTAATTTACTTTATGTTTTAATAAACGTTTACATGAGCTTTTTTCATTGTAAGGAACTAGCCACATTTAAGTTTTTAGAAAGCCAGCGCTTTGTGTACACTAGTTTTAGGCTTGCTTGCGAATTTGGATGTTTATCTAATCAGTGTAGTCTGGTCTCTTGCAGGCCAGGCCAGTGCACTGTGTCGGGAGGGAAGCGCTGGCTTTATATGGACGGTTAAACGGCCGCGGTAATGCCTAGTGGAGGTGATAGCGTCCTCGACCTTCCCTCGGTTGCTGGCCTTACCTGGCGCACTGGTGGCAATGGCAGCTTTGGAGCACTTACGCCAGTGACTTCAAGCCTTCTGCTTCGAACCAGATGTGCGCCGATTTATGGTCAGTCTCCGGCGGCACTCGCTCACTACTAACCGGCCTTTGTTGCGTCATCACCTTTTAGATACGCGACAGTACACAAACGGATTTGGGAAACGCCTCCACTTCCACTTCTGAGGGTCGCGGGATCAACGTGAACCATTAGGGGCAGCAGGTATCCTTGCCCTCCTAAGAAAAAGTGCCCATGATGCTTAATTGTTTAAACGAAGAGAATTTTTTCATTAAATGCTTCTTTCCTCATTTTCTTTTTTCGCGTTCTGAATAATTGGATATTAAATTTGGTTGAATATTCGATTCTTCGCTTTTCCAAGCTTGCTTCTGTTGTCCTGTATCCCGTAAGAGAGAAGTGGCAAGTCCTTCCCAAATCCACCGGTTGATTTGCCGGTGTCATCATATATGTCGAGCCGTCCCGTCCTCACCCCGCGTTCGTTTCCTCTTATCACGTCACATATTTTGTCCTGCTCCAGGCTGCCACAAAATGACCCATCTGGCGTGTCTTTGGCTTCGTTCACGTAGCTGGAGATAGTCTTTTTTAGCCTTAAATAGCTGGTCAGCCCAATCACGGCAGCTAGTAGGAGTGCA